ACACGCCCTTGACTGGAATCAAACCTGGGACCCTTCAGTCCACAGGCCGATGCTCTATCCACCGAGCCAAGCCGGTTAGGGCCCATTTTATTATTTTTTTAAAATACATTTTTATTGATTTCAGAGAGAGGGAGAGAGAGAGAAACATCGATGAGAAATATCAATTGTCTGCTTCCTGCACGCCCCCTATTGGGGAGGGGGGTACACATCATTTTAAACATAAATGTCAATACAACGAAAAATGCAAATAAATCTTTGCATTACTGTGAAACAGTTTTAACCTTGCAGATCCCCTGAAAGGGCCCCTGGGACCTCCACCGCTAGCATGGAGTGTGGCAATGTTGAGAAACTTAGAATTACTAGCAGAAGGCGGGGGAAGTGGTTGTAACTCCACAGGCCCACGGGCAAGTGTTGACTGCACTGAAAATGTCTGGAACAAAACTAAATGACTGACTTCTGTCTCTCATAAAGACAGAGCTCTGGAAGATGTGTGCATCCGCTGCCTGCCTAGCGATGCACATATTTCTTCCCTCTGAGATCCACAGTGATGACAGGTCACATCCCCTCAATCCTGCACCCGGTGCCCGAACCCTCCTCTTTTGACCCAGTAACTTTCAGCTCAAATGCCCCGCAGTGGTTCCCTCTCAGTCCACTCCTTCCTCCCGATGCTCCAGGCTCCCTGTGTCCATCCCAGTCCCACAGTTGCTCATTTACAGGTCGGTGACCCAAGTGGCCTCTGAGGGGGAATGAGAAACAGGCAGGAGGACCCCAGGCGCTGCCGGGGTCTGAGGAAGGAGGCTTTCTCCGGGACCCGGGCCTCTGAAACGCAGCGGACGGGCTGGATAAAGCCACCCGGCCCGTGTCACAGGAGCCATAGATCTTCCCCCTCCCCGCTTCTGTCCACACCGCCCCACCCCACGGCTCCCACTCCTGCGGCCATGGCTGCAAGTGGCAGAAGAGCTGAGGGACTCACACGTGGAGCCCTGTGGGTCATGCCCTAAGGGCCAAGGTCTTCACTTCTTCCCACTAGGAAACAGGCAATGCGGGGCTGGGAACAGGGGGTCCCAGGAAATATGTGCATGAGCTCTTGGCCTCTGTCTCCAGAGACGCCCGGAGGTGGGCAGAGAGTTTGCAGCGGCTACAGGCCGACGAAGCCGGAGCAGCAGACCGACTGCGGGCGGCTGGGAACCAGGCGGAGGGAACCAGGACACCGCGCAGCGACGCGCGGGAAGGGCTGCGGCCCCGTCCCTTCTCTGGAGCTCGCGTCTCTCTGACTCAAGCACGACCCCTGGAGGCAAATAGGCCGCGGCACCTCGCAGCGTTATGCGCCTTCAGAATCCGTCTCTACTGCAAGGTTTGCCTCATTTTCCGCCTTGGAAAAAAGAGCGCAGTTCCGGAGTAGGGACTCCAGGAGAGTTCTGGGAAATGGAGTCTCGGTCAAGAGGATTCTGGGAGTCGTAGTTCATGCTGCTCATTGCGCATGCGCATTTCCGTTTTTACAGCAGGGGTTCTATTGCTCTGGGGAGTGGGGCAGGGGGCCAGGGACAGGGAAGAGACCTGTGCGTCCAAGCCCGCCCGGCCTCCGACCGTCTGCTCTTCAGGTTCCTTGTCCGGTGGGGAGGGGACCCGGGGTGGAATGTGACAGATGGACTTGGGTGCCTGTCAATTACAATTGACAACTACTAGTATAATTGGGCAATTACAGCGGCATGCGATAACTCAGAGATGCAGGACCTAGCGGCATCTTACTGTTACTGTCAGAAGAGGCATCTGAGCCGAAATTTTGGTGGCATAGGACCAGGCTGAGGGGAGACACACCCAAATTCTGGGGCCTCGAGAGTGCAGTCACCCATGAACAAGGCTATGAGCTTGAAAGGACCCTTGAGACACAGATTGTAGAGATGGGCGCTATCCCCTGACATTGTAAAGCTGTTGTTGGTTTAGGCAGGGGTGCGCTGTGACCCTAACATCATGTTACTGAGGTCACTGTGGCTGTTTTCCCCAGGGTCGGGAGGGGAGGGCATTGAGGTCCTAGCACTAGTCCAGGGAGATAAGAGCCAACGGTGGCAATGGCAGTGTGATGATGAGGACTCAGGGAGAGGGACATGTTGAGGATTTCTGGAAATATTTGCATGTTTGCAGATGTTTACACTTAGTGAAATTCTTATTCATAATCTGTCTCAACCCCCCCCCCAAAAAAAAACATTTGAGGGGCTCAAGGACTGAGCACACATGTGCAAATCCATTCACAAAACTATTGAGACGCACCGTTTGACCCAAAGGACATTCATGCACAGAGCTACACAACTCTCAGCTATACCCACCCTTGTGAGCATGCAGGTATGAAAATATACACAGCCACATAGGTAGCTACTCATGATCACATACCAGTACACATACTGCCTCAGACAAGGGTCCTGGTGAATGTATCTCAGCTCAAAGACAGTCTGCCCAGAGCTGAGAGTGCCCTGCCATCTTGGGCTAAGTGTGTTCACCCAAAAGGACAATTGTTGATTTCTTTGGGCCTCTTTCTGGAAACTTCACATAGAGCTCAGCCTTTGTCCTCCCTACTACATCCATGTCCACTATGATTTTGACTCTTCCTAGTTACCACCCTGCCACCTGGCCTGATGGGAGGGAGAAATGGCGCTTGAATTCAGGTAAAGGTTTTGCATATCTGAATGGATTTGCTGAGAGTCTTCCCAGAGCAGTAGTTCTGAACGTATTTGTATGTGCTGGACTCTTAAGAGTCCACTGAAAGCTCTGAACCCTCTTCCCAGATAAACCATATCTTCATATCTGTACTATGAAAGCCCATCTGTGAGGCTCTGGTTAGGAACCACTAGAGGTAGGTCAGAAGGCATTTTCCTGGTTGCCCTCTCTGCAGCCTTCAATGGCTCTAGAGGGGAGAAGAGGAGGGAGGGCATGAGAAAAGGGCACCTTCTCCTCCCAACTATGTTACTCTTAGCCAAGCACCCAGGCTGTCAGTCTTGCAGGCCCTCTGCTGGGCATTGTCATTCAGTGGGTGAGTGGAAGAGTTGGCCAGGCAAGCAGTTTAAACTTATCAGATGTTTAGTTATTTAGGGTTAGTAGGTCAATTAGAGAGCCAGTAGGCCAAGCAAATCACTTGTAGTTTAAAAACTTCATCAGCCAACCATCCTGTTAGTCACTCAGGATTAATTTTTCAGATGGACAGTATCCATCAGTCAATTTAGTGGTTGGTCTGTCCATCAGGGAGCCAGTGGTTGGGAATGCTAAACAGCTGGTTCAGCAGTGAGGCAAAAGGGCAGTTGGGGTGAGAACATCTGGCTAATGTTTCTACTTTTATATCCCGAAGGCAATGTAGGAAGGTGGAGAGAGGAACTGACTCCCAGGCCACCAGAGGAGGCTCTAGTTTGCTGGGAAATAAGCCTCAAGTGGTGCAGAGAACAAAGAGGAAAAGTTGCCCAGCAAGGGCCAGGCCGAGCTGTCACTAGAGGGCAGTGTGGCGTCCCTTAATTTCCACGCTGGGCACACTGGAGGTTCAACTTCAGGCTTTTGGAGCTCCAGTCTCCGGCTAGCCTCTGAAGAAAGGCTCCTGAAAGGACTTCTTATCTGAGGAATGCCCAACCAAGCAAGACACGCTTGTCTCTGAGCTGGGAGGAAACTGGTTAGCTGCCCACCAGAAGGAGGACTTGCCTTTTCTGGGCACTGCTGCGGCCAGGGGCATGCCAGCACCGGGGAAGAGCGGGAATGGAGGGGGAGGAGCGCCTCAGCCTCACCGGTCTGCCCCAGGAGCAAGGAGTGGAGCAGCTCCCTGAAGCTGAGGCATGGAGGGCAGGACCTGTCACCTCCCAGGCTGCGTCTCCTTCAGCATCTCTAGGGGCCAAGGAGGAGCCAGACCAATGGCCTGAAACCTCCAGATTCCCATTCCTTGGCTGAACTCCATGGCCAGCTGCTGCTTCTGCAATGGATGGCAGGTCTAACTACAGCAGGAGTGTGGAGGTTAGCTACCGACAATGAAGGAAACATGGGGAAAGGACACACAGCGAGTTTCATTTACCTTGGGAATCACAGATCTATATATATATAAGCATAAGCAACCTTTACGACCGGATGACTGGCCAGTAGCTATGATGTGCACTGACCACCAGGGTGCTGCCCCCTGGTGGTCAGTGCGCTCCCACAGCCAACCTCCTGTGGCCGGCCCTACCTCCTTTACAATGGAAGACTGGGTCTTGAAGGCTAAAAATTATATTTAATGCTGCCCCCTAGTGGCTGAATATAATATAACACCACTGCAAAGGCTAGATTTACATGATCAAAGTTTTTTCTTAAAAACAGCAACCACTGCCCTAGCCGGTTTGGCTCAGTGGTTCGATTCTGGTCAAGGGCACACGCCCGGGTTGTGGCTCAATCCCCAGTAGGGGGCGTGCAGGAGGCAGCCGATCAATGATTCTCTCTCATCATCGATGTTTCTATCTCTCTCCCTCTCCCTTCCTCTCTGAAATCAATAAAAATATATTTTAAAAAAACAAAAAAATAGCAACCACTGACGTTAAGAAGCAGGATAAGGATACTGTCCTAACCATTTAGTTTTAAATTTATAACTGTTGCAACCTTACTATGTTTTAATATTCATTAATATTCACCAGAAAATACAGTATCTTGTAGGGCTACTGGGAGGATTAATACATTTGCGTTACTCTCTGGGCTTTGACTTTTCCTTTAGGAACAGTGACTTCACACCTCTGAGCCGGTTCCCTCATTTGTATTAGGGGTAACAGGACCTTCCTCAGAAAGTTGTTTGGATTGATAGACATGCCTTTACTACCTCCGGCCATCACTCTGTCAGGGGCTGGAGCTCTGCAGCTCCGTGCTGGCCCCTCAGGGACATACCTTCTCCTCCTCCTCAAGGCCACTCTCAGCTCTAGAGACCAGGAAGGCCTGGCCAGCCACTCTGGTGAATTCAGCTGGTTCCTCTTAAACAGAAGCTATTATTAGTCACCTGAGCTGGCCACTGGGCAGCCACTCTGCAGGCATATAACCCCAACACCCAGGCCAGTGGCCTTGAGCAGTGGGAGCTAACTGATGCCCAGGCCAGAACTCTGTGCCAGCCACTATCAAAGCCAGGACTGCAGTGTAAACCCCACCTGTTTTCTGCTTTCTCCTGCGGTTGTGTTTAAACACACTAGGTACAGCCACCATGGCCTGGGCTGCTCAGTCTGTTCTGAAGGCTTCCTGAAGACTCAGAGAAACAGAAGCCTGCATCCCTGCAGCTCCTGCATCAGTCTCTGTGAGCTCTACCGAAGGGAATCCCTCAACTCTTTCAGAAGCCTAATTCTCCTATAGCTGGGAAGATCCTCAAAAAGGCTTAATAGCAATATCAGATTAAGTTCTTCGATTCTGTTTACTAGTGAAATTAGAGAAATACACCCCTTATATTAGTTAATACCTATAGCTACACTAGAAAGGGGTTAACTGCTCAGTTAAGCTAGAAAATCAACACATACATTTGCTGGCCTCTGCTTTGTTCTGTGTAACTTTGATCAAAAGCCTTGTCATCCTGTTTTGGTGCCTTGGTTTTAAGTTTCAATTTCATACATCTTTAAAGATTTAAAAATGTTTCATCTCTATCATGAAATATTATACAGTGGCTATAAAAGAGCTTATTCTATCTATCTATCTATCTATCTATCTATCTATCTATCTATCTATCATCTATCTCAATGTAGAAATATCTCCCAGACAGATTAAGAGAAGCAAGTTAATGAGAAACATGCCTAAGGCACATTATTAAAGGAAACAACCAGATAAAAATATTGTTAAGGAAAGCAAGTCATAGAATATATATAAAATGATTCCTACTTAAAAATTATACATTTCTGCATCTGCATGGAAAATTTCTGTAAGAATATCTGCCAGGGTCTCACAGTGTTCCCTCTGGAGGAGGGATTAGAAGAGAATTTCACTTAGGAGTTTTCAGTATTATTTGATTGTTTTCCAATGTGCATTGTGTTAATTTTAATCATAAAAAACAGGAAGCTGAATATACCCACGTACACGCACTTGCTATGAACTAAGCCACTGAGCCCATTGCCCAGACACCAAGAATGAAATTCATTCAGCTCAGCTCAATGCTCAGTGTTTGTTTATGGAACGAAATGTCTTAGAACTTGATCTGAAGGAAGATATTTTAATGCTGTGCACATACAATGTCTTGGGAGGCTGTGTTGAGAAGCTGGAGCTGGTATATTAAGAATAGTATATAGCCCAGCCACGGTGGCTCAGTGGTTGAGCATCGACCTATGAACCAGGAGGTCACGGTTCAATTCCTGGTCAGGGCACATGCTTGGGTTATGGGTTTGATCCCCAGTGTGGGGCATGCAGGAGGCAGCCGATCAATGATTCTCTCTTATCATTGATGT